AACTGTCAACTCTTGAAACACTTCCCTTCTTAGACAAATCTCTATTCAAGTAAGAGAGAGAAACAAGTACCCATCCAAAGAAAGAAAGGGAAACAAGTGATACAAGACGAGTTTCCCTCTAATAAAGAGAGAGAAGTTTGGAAGAGAGAAAACTGTGCAAGAACCAAAAAACCCAATTTTCAATTCGTTACAATATAATTCCTTTTAGAGAGAGTTTCCCTCTAGTAAAGAGAGAGAAGTTTTGAAGAAAGAAAACAGTGCAAGAACCAGAAATCCCAATTTCGATTTGTTACAATATAATTCCTTTTAGGAGAGAAAGAAAACTGTTAGGACCCACTTGGATAGGAGGAAATTAGGAATTTTGGATATTTGAAATCCAAAAAAATCTATAGATATCCAATATCAAGAATTCTTATCAAGGATTCCTCAAATCTCTTGTTTGGATACACAATATAAAATTCATTGATTCGTTACAATCATTTTCATGTCCATTTTTGGTAATAAATTTTGATATACTTTCTTGCTCTAAAACTCAAAATTTGAGATAGGCTCTCTCTTTCTCTAAATTTGAAGATATTTTCTTTCTCTAAAATTTGATATTGTTTTTTCTCTAAAATTTTAATACCCTTTCTCTTTCAAAAAGTTAAAATTTGAAATAGTTTCTCTCTCTAAATTTTTTGAGATAGTTTCTCTCTCTAAAAAATTTAGATAATTTCTCTCTATAAAATTTGATATAGTTTCTCTCTCTAAAATTTTGAGACACTTTCTCTCTTTAAAACTTAAAATTTGAGATAGTTTCTTTCTCTAAAAAGTTTCAAGTAGCTTCTCTCTCTAAAATATGATATAGTTTCTCTATTTAAAATTTTAAAGTACTTTCTCTATCTAAAACTTAAATTTTAATATAGTTTCTTTTTAAAAATTTTGAGATAGTTATTTCTAAAAAATTTATCTCTCTAAGAAATTTTAAATATTCGTTCTAAAATTTCAATATATTTTTGTTCTTCAGTAGCATATAGCAGAAGTTCTCAACGCCGCTAGGGTTTCGTTTTCATTCACAGATTTAAAGTCCTCACTCGCTAGGGTTGGAGAGGCCTACGGATCTCAAAAATTTTATTCAAACTAACTTGGCGCAGGGCAATGAAATGAATCAGTTTCCATGAAATGTCAATTCCACCTGGTGGAATTGACATTTTCAAAATTTAGGTTGAAAATGTGCATTCAAGAACCCCATGAAAATCTCAATTCCAGCAGAAATGTCAACTCTAAGCGAACCAAAGACGATTGGCCTAGCTTTTTTTCAGGAAAAGTAACATTCTTAAAAATCTGAATCCAAGAAACCAAACAGGCTTTAGATAAAATGATAAATTTTCTCGACTTTCTTTCTTTAAAACATTGTAATTCTTTTAAAAAATCTAGATCCACCAACCATTAACATCTACTAAGAGGTATATAGTCACTTCTGAAGGGAGCATTGATTTGGAGCACTTCTTAGCTCCAATGATCCTTTCTTTTCAAATTGATGGCTTAGGGACATATGGTTTCATCCAAACCCAAGTTTGGGGAAAAACTAACTTTCAATGGGGCTGCCCTGAAGACAAACATGCCACCGTTCAAAAACAAAGAAAAAAAAACGCAAACATGCCTATTTTTAGATTTTGGAAAACCGGGATATGAGCGAGTAAAAGGTGTCTAACACAAACTTTAGTTTACTATATAGCCCATGAACTTAGGGTCAATTAAATTTCATGTAACGGTGCTTTGGCTAAGGCAGACTTGTAAAATCCGATTATTTCTGATCCGGATCTCTTATTTTGATGGGAATGGGAAAGGATTGAACTAGTTCTACCCTATATAGGTTCAACTTTACACCCCTAAAATTTTTCCTTTTTATCTTTTTTTTTTTTCTTCTTTTCATTTAAACTTGTCTAATATTTTTTTAGATAAATAAATTCCTATTTTTATTTTTATTATTGTATTTATTTTTTAATAAATTTTCAGGCCACGGATTCAAACCAATGAATTGAATGGCTGATTCAATGATCCAACACATATTTGTAGGCGGGCACCATTCGGAGTTTTGGAAAATGCGGGTCAATCACATTAAGAGTCCATTGTGATGGCATTTTGGCTGACATGCCTAAAGAACAGACATACAATAGTGTTTTGGTTGAGGGACCTAACATACAACTTGGTAGAGGATAATCTTTGCCAGATAACTTTCATGGTGTTTTAATGGATGTCTCTAAAAATAAAATCACAAGCATGCCCCCCATTAAGTAAAGTGTTATATGCTAACAATTTACCTCAATATTTTGCCTTCTGCGTGGTCATTCGCAAGAGAGGGTACACAAGTTGGTCGCTTTTAACGTTTTTTTTTAGTAGAGAGAGAGAGTGGGTGGGGAGAGAAGGAGGGGTTTCAATTTTAATAACTTGCAAGTTACAACCACTACTAACCAACAAATAATTGAGGCCTAGGACTTTTTTTGAACTCCTCCCCTATTTTTCCCTCTGCCTCTCAGTATATATATATAAAAGTAAAAAGAGCAAATACTTGGAGCCCACTCTATTGTGGGACCCATTCTACCCTACTACTTTATATTCTGATCAAAATGCAACTCAGTAAATACGCCCAACGTATCAATTATTACTCCCTCCAATTCATATTTTGGGCCACTAATCACACTCGGTCACTCTCAACTAATTGGCATTAATAGAGAGAGACTCGTACCCTTTCTTGGTTACCCCGGAAGCCCATTCCTTTCATCAGGTGAGATAAATACATAGGACTGTGAGTCAGCCGACCAACCTATTAAGATGCGGTCTTTTGTCTATCGAACGTCCACCTTGGCTCCAAGATGGATGTAAAAAAAATGTTACATTTATTAAAAGTTAGAAGTTTAGATTGATTGAGATTTATGGAACCCTAAAATTTTGAAATAATCTCAACCTTAATATTTTGGATGGAAAATACATCTCTCGGATATATTTTGTAGGGAGACTGAGAGGGAACGACACGACATGTGTAAAATGAGAGAGACAAACTCTCAAAAGGTAAAGAGAGATGGATCAAACGAGCGTTTTAAAAAACGCCGAGTCGCCCGGTTCGACTCGGAATTCTCGAAAAGGGACCAGATCGGTTGAAAAATCGGAAATCGTCCGGTTCTAGAGAGAACCGGACGATTCCACACAGTGACTCGCCGATTCACTGTACGAAATCGGCGAGTCCAAACAGTGAATCGGCGAGTCCGTACGGTTTTATTTTATTTTTATTTTTATTTTTATTTTTATTTTTATTTTTATTTTTTTTGTAATTTTGTAATCCATGATAGATTTTTTTGTAATACTTGATTGATTTTTTTTGAATCCATGATCGAATTGTTTTTGTTTTTTTGTAATCCATGATTGACTTTTTTGGTTTTTTGTAACCCATAATAGAATTTTTTGTAACCCATGATCGAAATGTTTGTTTTTTTTCTTGTAATCCATGATCGCTTTTTTGTTTTTTTTTTTTTTTGTAACCCA